AGTCTATACTCAACAAAATTTGAAAACTTAAATGAAATGGACAATTTTCTTGATCGATTTGACTTACCAAAGCTGAATCAGGACCAGGTAAATCAATTAAATAGTCCTATATTCCCCAAAGAAATAGAAGCAGTCATCAAAAGTCTCCCATCCAAAAAAAGCCCAGGACCAGATGGCTTCAGCGCAATATTCTACCAGACCTTCAAAGAAGAGCTAACTCCAAGTCTCTTCATACTATTCCACAAAATAGAAACAGAAGGAACATTACCAAACTCATTCTATGAAGCCACAATCACCTTGGTACCTAAACCTCACAAAGACTCAACAAAGAAAGAGAATTTCAGGCCAATCTCCCTTAGGAACATTGATGCAAAAATACTTAACAAAATACTTGCAAACCGGATCCAAGAACACATCAAAGATATTATCCACTATGACTAAGTAGGCTTCATCCCAGGTATGCAGGGGTGATTCAATATACGGAAATCCATCAATGTGATCCACCATATTAACAATCTGAAAGAAAAAAACCACATGATAATCTCCCTAGATGCTGAAAAAGCATTTGACAAAATCCAACATCCATTCATGTTTAAAGTACTGGAGAGATCAGGGATACAAGGCACATATCTAAACATAGTAAAGGCGATTTACAGCAAGCCTATAGCCAACATCAAACTGAATGGAGAGAAACTTAAAGCAATCCCACTGAAATCAGGGACAAGATAAGGCTGCCCACTCTCTCCATATCTCTTCAACATAGTGCTGGAAGTCCTTGCTAGAGCAATAAGACAGTTGAAGGAGATCAAGTGAATACAGATTGGAAAGGAAGAAGTCAAATTATCACTATTTGCAGATGATATGATAGTATATATGAGTGACCCCAAAAACTCTACCAGGGAACTCCTACAGCTGATAAACACCTTCAGCAAAGTGGCCGGATACAAAATTAACTCAAAAAAAAATCAGTAGCACTTCTGTATACAAAAGAAAAAAGGGCTGAGAAAGAAATTAGAGAAACAACACCATTCACAATAGCCACAAATGACATAAAGTACCTTGGTGTAACCCTAACCAAGCAATTCAAAGACTTGTATGAAAAAAATTTCAAGTCTCTGAAGAAAGAATTAGAGGAAGATATGAGAAGATGGAAAGATCTCCCATGCTCATGGCTTGGCAGGATTAACATAGTAAAAATGGCCATCTTCCCAAAAGCAATCTACAGATTTAATGCAATTCCCATCAAATTGGCAACACGATTCTTCACAGACCTAGAAAGAAAAATTCTCAACTTCGTATGGAATAGCAAGAAACCGAGAATTGCTAAAACAATCCTCTACAATAAAAGATCTTCTGGAGGTATCTCCATCCCTGATCTCAAGCTGTACTATAGAGCAACAGTTATAAAAACTGCATCGTACTGGCATAGAAACAGAATGGTGGATCAATGGAATTGAACAGAAGACCCAGAAATAAACCCACACACTTACGGACACCTGATTTTTGACAAAGATGCCAAAACCATACAATGGAAAAAAAGATAGCATCTTCAACAAATGGTGCTGGTCCAACTGGATGTCTACATGTAGAAAAATGAAAATAGATCCATACTTATCACCCTGCACAAAACTGAAGTCCAAGTGGATCAAAGATCTCAACATAAAACCAGACACATTAAATCGGCTAGAAAAAAAAGTGGGGAATACCCTAGAACTCATTGGTACAGGAGAAAACTTCCTGAACAGAACACCAACAGCACAGGCTCTAAGAGCAACAATCAATAAATGGAACCTCATGAAAATGAAAAGCTTCTGTAAAGCAAAGGACATCCTCATCAAAACAAAGCGACTGCCTACATAATGGGAAAGAATCATCATCAACCCTTTATCTGACAGAGGACTCATATCCAATATATATAAAGAACTAAACAAGCTGAAAAGCAACAAACCAAGTAATCCACTTAAAAAATGGGGAACAGAGATAAACAGAGAATTCTCTGTAGAGGAATATCGAATGGCAGAGAAGCACTTAAAGAAATGCTCAACCTCATTAGCCATTAGGGAAATGCAAATCAAAACAACCCTGAGATTTCACCTTACACACATCAGAATGGCCAAGATGAAAAACTCAAAGGACAACACATGCTGGAGAGGTTGTGGCGAAAGGGGAACCCTTCTCCACTGATGGTGGGAATGTAAACTGGTACAACCACTCTGGAAATCAATCTGGCGCTTTCTCAGACAACTAGGAATAGCACTTCCTCAAGACCCAGCCATACCACTCCTAGGTATATACCCAAAAGAGGCGCAAGTACACAAAAAGGACATTTGCTCAGCCATGTTTGTAGCAGCTTTATTTGTAATAGCCAGAAGCTGGAAACAACCCAGATGCCCCTCAACTGAAGAATGGATGCAGAAACTGTGGTACATCTATACAATGGAGTATTACTCAGCAATGAAAAATAAGAAATCATGAAATTTGCAGGTAAATGGTGGGACCTGGAAAGGATCATCCTGAGTGAGTTGTCCCAGAAGCAAAAAGACACGCATGGTATATACTCACTCATATAAACATACAATATAGAATAAACCCACAAAAATCTGTACATCTAAACAAACTAAGCAAAAGAGAGGACCCTAACTAAAATGTTCAATCCCCATCCTGAAAGGCAAAGAGGATGGACATCAGAAAAAAAAGAAAATAGGAAACAACCTCGGAACCTGCTACAGAGGGCCTCTGAAAGCCAGAAGAAAACAGGAAACAACCTTGAAACCTGCCACAGAGGGCCTTTGAAAGCCTCTGCAGTATAGACTGTCAAAGCAGATGCTGAGCCTGATGGCCAACTGATGGGCAGAGTGAATGGAATTTTATGTAAGAAGTGGGAAATAGTAAGAGCTGGAGGGGATGGGAACTCCACAAGGAGAGCAACAGAACAAGATAATTTGAACACAGGGAATTCTCCAGAGACTCATACTCCAACCAAGGACTATTCATGGAGATAACCTAAAACTCCTGCACAGATGTAGCCCATGGCAGTTTAGTGTCCAAGTGGGTTACATAGTAATGGGAAGAGGGACTGCCTCTGACATAATCTGATTGGCCTGCTCTTTGATCACCTCCCCCTCAGGGGGGAGCAGCCTTACCAGGCCATGGTAGAGGACAATGCAGCCACTTTTGATGAGAACTGATAGACTAAGATCAGAAAGAAGAGGAGAACCTCCCCTATTAGTGGACTTGGGGAGTGGCATGCATGCAGAAAGGGGAGGGAGGGTGGGATCGGGAGGGGAGGAGGGAGGGGCTTATGGGGGGATACAAAATGAATAGAGTGTAATTAATAAAAAATCAAAAAAATAGCAATGATTAATATGCAAAGGGTTCTGACTAGAGACAGCAACCCACACGAAAGAACCCAAGAGAGAATCAAAGTGAGAGTCTAAAAATAAAACATTAGAATTAAACTTATTATTATTTTTTAATTCTTTGTCAACACGCAGTGCCATTATTTAAAGCAGTAATTGTGACACTGTTTTTGTTATTCTAGCATCCGAACCAATGCACACTAAGGTTAGACTGTCACGGGAACAGGAGTTTGGACTTGAAAGCACTCTATGGTGGGGTGCCTACGCTATGTGAAGTGCTGTAGTTGTGTAACAGCACTTTTTGTAAAAAGGAGTATGATTGGTTTATTTGTTTGCTAAGGAAATGGGTGAAAGTTTAAATAAAATCACAGAATGCAGAAGGGGAAGAAAAAAACAATAAACACAAATAAAATAAAAAAAAATAGTGTTATGGGTTGGCTTTCTTCCACGGGGTGGGTCTCAGGTTGGGCCAGGTCTGGGTTGGGCATTCTGTCACTCTGCTCTATCTTTATTCCTGTACATCTTGAAGGAATTGTAAGTTTTGGGTTGAAGATTTTGTGGGTGGGTTGGTATTCCCATCCCTTCACTAGCAGTTTTGTCTAGTTAGTTTCCATGACCCCTGCTAATAGGAGTCTCAGCTAGAGTCACCCTCATATCTTGCCAAAAGCTTAACCTGCCTTTACTCTCCACCTTGCCACAGAGATGCTTCCACCTATGGTTTTATTTCTCTCTGTAGGTCCTCGGTTCTCCTGCCTCCATTTGCCCCAGATATGGTCTTCCTACTCATTTCTTTCTGTGTTCCCTTCCCGACCGTGTTCCTTCTCTTCAGCAAATTCTGCTCTCTATTCTGTTTTCCCTTCTCAGTGAGATATAGTCGTCCTTCCTTAGGTGTTTCTTGTTACTTACCTTTTTTTACGTCTGTGAATGGTAGTATGTTTAACCTGTACTATATGGCTAAAACCCACTTATAAATGAGTACATACCATGTGTGTCTTTCTGGATTTGGGTTTCCTCACTCAGGATGATCTTTTCTAGTTCAACCCATTTGCATGCTAATTTCATGATTTCTTTGTTTTTAATAGCAGATCAGTATTCATGTAGGTCCCTTAGTAAGAGAAGTGGGGGCTGTCTTTGACATGGACTCTGTTGACTGTTTTGAATAATTCCACCTTGGTGGGGTTGCCTTGCCAGGTCACAGGCGAGGAAGACATGCTCAGCCCTGATGTTACTTGCTGAGCTTGGGTGAGTGGGTGGGTGGGTCTACATTTCCTGAGGAATGGGAAAGGGGAGAAAGAGTCTATGAGGAAGGGAGAGTGGAACTTGGAGGAAAGAAGGGAAGGGGCTATGATTGAGATATAAATTGAATAAATAAACTAATATAAAAAGAAAGAAAAATTGACATTTGTAGTGTTAAAAGAATTTTTATCGTTGATGTGTATTGAATTCATTCCTTAGTTGCAAAATTTTTGTTTAATATGTCTAATAAAAGTCACAGATTTTCTTAGCATTTATTGCAAGGTTTAATGATTAATACTATCTTGAGTACTTTAATAATGATCTTCATTCACCTTAGCCAACTTTTTCATCATTTTGTGTAACCTTAACCTACACTAACATGACTTCAATTTTATTTCCCTTTAGAATAAAGATCTTGAGGATTTGTCAACCACTCTAAAGTCAGTCCAAGAAGAGATTGTAAACAAACACAACCAACTGAGAAGAATGGTTTCTCCACCTGGTAGTGACTTACTGAAAATGGTGAGGGCTCACATCAGGACAATGCATTTGCGGAGCTGTGTTTGGAGCCTGCTGATAACATTTAGCTTCTCCTCTATTGTTTAAAAGGGTCTGCCTCTATCCTAGCACCTCATTTTAAAACGTATTCTTTATTTTACGTGCATACATATCTATATGCGTGTGTATGTTTGTGTATACATACTATGGCATGCATGTAGAGATCAGAGGTGGTTCTCTCCTTCTATGTATTCAGCTGTGAGATGATTAGAGTAGAATTTATTAAACTTCCTTTAAAACAGTGACTTATTAGTGTTATGGGACAACAGTGCCAGAAATCAAATCAAATCTTTGACTTCACTTTTTAGTGAAAAGCCACTGTGTTATTTTGGCTCACTGCAATCTCTCTCTTAGTTAGGGTTTCTCCTTTATAGTCAATGGCCTTTCATCTAAGTAATATACTTTCCTGGAGCCAGAACCAAAGCCCGTATTTCTCTTAAAAGTGTTCAATGAGGGACATCAGAAGAAGAAGAAAACAGGAAACAAGTTAGGAGCCTGCCACAGAGGGCCTCTGAAAGGCTCTACCCTGCAGGGTATCAGAGCAGATGCTGAGACTTATGACCAAATGTTGGGCAGAGTGCATGGAATCTTATGAAAGAAGTGGGAAATAGTAAGATCTGGAGAGGACAGGAGCTCCACAAGGAGAGCAACAGAACCAAAAAATCTGAGCACAGGGGTCTTTCCAGAGACTCATACTCCAACCAAGTACCATGCATGGAGATAACCTAGAACCCCTGCACAGATGTAGCCCATGGCAGTTCAGTGTCCAAGTGGATTCTATAGTAATGGGAACAGGGACTGCCTCTGACATGAACTGATTGGCCTGCTCTTTGATCACCTCCCCCTGAGGGAAGAGCAGCCTCACCAGGCCACAGAGAAAGACAATGCAGCCACTCTGATGAGATCTGATAGACTAGGATCAGAAAGAAGGAGAGGAAGGCTTCCCTTATCAGTGGACTTGAGAGGGGCATGTGTGGAGAAGGAGGAGGCTAGGTGGGACTGAGAGGGTAGGAGGGAGAGTTTATTGGGGGATAAAAAGTGAATAAAGTGTAAGCCATAAAAATTAAAATAAAAAAGTAAAAAAATAGAAATAAAAAACCACTGTTATTAGAAAAAAAGTATTCAATGAGGATAAAAATAAAACTGGGATTTATAAGGCAACTTCTTACAGGTGTAAAAATAATCTTAGTATTTTTACATAGTTAGTTATGCTTATAGCACAGCAATTGCTTAAAGTCTTTAAGGGTTTCCTGTTGTGATTTCAATAAGTCATTAGACCTTTAATAGTTTAGTATTTTTGGTGATCTTGGGATGACAGACTAGTTGTATTTCCTTGCTACAGAAAAAGCATAGATAAGTGGGAAGGACATTGGACAAAGATTATAAAACTACTAAGCAGACCAGGAGAGGAGAAAGATGTGCTGGGGAAGAGATGGGAAGAGGAAGGAAATGGAATATGTGTGGCATCAGAAGGAAGTTATGGATGAGACAGCATAGGAGGATGAGCAGGATCAGGAAGATGGGAGAAATTGTAAAAATAATCTTATTCATAAATTTCACAAGGAAAGTTGATAACATTAAAATTTAGATAGAAAATATATCGTGTCTTGATTATGAGGAAAATCTAATGGTACCTACAGGAATTTTACAATGATGTAAGCCAGTACCATCAGCCTGTCTGCAAAGAAAATGTGAATTTGAGGTTTGAGTTATTACTTGGCTGCTTTCTTTCCTTTTCCTCTTTAGCAATGGAACCATGATGCACAAAGGAATGCTCAGAGTTGGGCAAACAAATGCATGTACCACCACAGTCCTGAGGAATTCAGGACTATTGGTATGTAAACTCAAAATCACTTATGTATGAATGGAGAACAGCATAGGAAAATCCATTTTCTGTTATCGTGCTAACAGAACTTTGTAAATAAATATGTTTTCTGATATTGATAGTTAAAAAGTTAAATCACTCTGTGGCAGAGAAGCCTCTGAGAGACTCCATGTTATGCTTATTTGGTGTTTTATGTTTTACACAAATTGTGACCCATAATGCCAGCTTTGTTCACTGTAACCTGATCACAAGTGCAACAAGGTATGAATCATCTCTTTCACTGCTTTAAAGATTAAAACTGATGTCTGAATGAAAAGGATTACTAATTTAAGTAACATAAAGTGTATTTTTTATTTTATTTTATTATTTTTCAGTTATGCATGTGTGTGCGTCTATGTGTATGTATGCACATGTGCCTGCATTTAAGAGTGCCTCTAGAGACCAGCAGAAGGAATTGGATCCTCCCAAGCTGGGGTTACAATAGTTGTAAGCCATCCCATTTGGATGCTAAAAGTTGAATTCAAGACTGCTAAAATAGCAGGACGTGCTCTCACCTGTTGAGCCATTTTTCTAGCCCTCTGAAAAACTCAATCATATAGCTCAACACTTTATCTTAACTCATCCAGTCTTACCTTTTTTAATTTATTTTTTATTAAGTACAGTTTATTCACTTTTTATTCCAGCTGTAGCTCCCTCCATCTTCCCCTTAAATCCCACCCTCCCTCCATCTTCTTCTCCTATGCCCCTTTCCCAGTCTGCTGATAGTAGAGGTCCTCCTCCCCTTTCATCTGACCCTATTATATAAGGTCTCATCAGAACTGGATGCATTATCTTCCTCTGTGGCCTGGTAAGGCTGCTGCCCATCCCCCCTTCCCCCAGGGAGAGGTGATCAAAGGGCCAGTCACTGAGTTCATGTCAGAGACAGTCCCTGTTCCCATTACTAGGGAACCCTCTTGGATACTGAGTCTATGGCTGCATCTGTGCATGGGTTCTAGGTTATCTCCATGCATCATCCTTGGTACAGGAGACAACTTCCTGAACAGAACACCAACAGCACAGGCTCTAAGAGCAACAATAAATGGAACCTCATGAAAATGAAAAGCTTCTATGTGTCACCATGCCTGGCTCCAGTATCTTACTTTATGTTGTAGCCTGCTTGTGTTCATAAGCTAGCATTTAATTATAGAAATGTATTTAATTTGATCGGTTGATTATTTTTTTCCTCAAGAAATATCAAGCTGGTGATGCATGCCATTAAAATTCACAGTGTACCATCCTCGGATTCCTAAATACAGGCATCGTATATGTAAGCCACCAATGTGTCTGTGTTTAGCTCTTTCTTCATTTCTGGTGACAGCATCTTATGTACACGCTAGGTGACCAAACATTATATTAAATTAAAAATAAACTAAGAAACATGATCTTTACATCAACAAGTATAAAAATGGTGGAAAAATAAATAAATGGACTATAAGATATTTCTTTTTTTCTTTATTAATTACACTTTATTCACTTTGTATCCCCCCTGTGGTTCCCTCCCTCCTTCCATCCCAATCCCTCCCTTCCTCCACCCTCTGCATGCATGCCCCTCCCCAAGTCCACTGATAGGGGAGGACTTCTTTTCCTTCCTTCTGATCCTAGTCAGTTAGGTCTCATCATGAGTGACTGCATTGTCTTAAAACATTAAAAATGGTCATCACTAGCCCAATTTGAAGCTAATAAATTAATAATCTCTTTTAAATCTTGTACTTTTAGCTATTACTATTTTAATAATATAATGGTTAAAAAGTTTATTCAAAAGCTAAACATTCAGTAATGTGCAAAATAATTGTTTATTTGAAGAGACTGAAAAAATACCAAACTATGTACTGGACGTCAAAAGTTGTTTTTCTCACCATTCTTGGAAGAATACCTAGCCCATGGAATTTTAATTTTCTAATTAAGGCATGATGCATAAACTTAGAAAATATTGTTACTTCTGCTTTTCTGTGTTTGTACTTATAGTTCTTAAATAATAACTGTACAGAAGGCTTATACATAACAATAATTCTAAAATATGTAAAATTTTCACATAAAAATCTCTAAGCTGGGCACAGTGGTACAAGTACTGGGCACAGTGGTAACCTCAGTACTCAGGGAGGCAGAGGCAGGAAGATCTCTATGAGTTAGAGGCTAGCTTGGTCTGCAAAGCAAGTCTAGGACAGCCAGCACTACATGAAGAAACTTTGTCTCAAAAAAAAAAAAAAATCTCCAGTTAGAACAGGAGAGAAATTAAAGGAGCTAGTCTTTGTCTTCTCTAATACTGCAAATCAACATTTGGCACACTTGAGGCACACACTGATCACACACACACACACACACGTATGGAGAATTCCATGTGTAAATGAATTAATTCAAGGATAGAAGCTACTGAGAAAAAGGCTCCTGTATCTACTCAGTTCATATGGTGCTCAGCCCACACATATTGGATGCCTGTGGCTACTATTAAGCTGCTTGTTCAGCTGGTTTGAAGCATGCTTCCTATGCAATAATCAAAGACAACTCTAAGTAATGTCTTTAAAGAACAGCAATTCTGTTTTGTACAGTGTGTTTTGTGCATGCGTTTGTGTTTCTGTCTTTCCTTTATTGCTGCCTTTGTGAGTCTTTTTTTTTTTTTTTTTTTTTATTCCTTAGACAAAAAATGTGGTGAGAATATATTCATGGCAAATTACCTCACATCATGGTCTTCTGTAATCCAAAACTGGTTTGATGAATACAATGACTTTGTCATTGGTTTTGGCCCAAATAAACCTGGTGCAAAAGTTGGACATTATACTCAGGTAAGAAAAAGTATTCTGTCTGTAAATGTGAGGCAAGAAATTTCTTCCAATTACTTGACTGATTTCAAAGCAGAATTAGATTCAGGAATTTTTTCTTCAGACATGTTCTCACTATGTAGCTGAGACTGACTTTGAACTTACTATCTGTTATCATAGTCTCCTAAGTTCTGGTAGTATAGAGAGAGTGCATGGCACCCATGCACCCTTGGAGAACTTCTTGAGTGGTTACACATTGGTTGGTCCTGAAGTCTTTGGGCCTGCCATCTTTTAATGGCTTATTTAATCATTGTAAGGGAACATACTTTTTTTTTTTTTTTTTCCTCTAACCGCAATTTCTTGACTCAAGGTTCAAAGCATGGGCAATATCTTGCATTCTCTGAGGCACCTATACAGTCTTTCACAGGGCTGCACATCAGCTTTGTCTAGCTCCTGAAAGACAAGAGGAAAGGTCTGTTCTAAAGTTTTGTTTCCCGACCCCTTGCCAACTCACTTCCAAACAGACCTAAAAGCCAAGGCCCTGGGTCATTTACTATTAAATAAAGTGGCTGTTCTAGCAAGAAATATACAATTGTGACTCCATCTTGGCCACTGTCAAAGAAGGTCTACTGAAGATAAGAAAGAAAGGAAAAAGTTATGGGGATTTTGCATGGCTAGGTGGAGAAGATCCAGATGTGGTATAGTCTTAATGAAGGCTTTATTGCTATGATGAAACACCATGACTAAAAAGCAAGTTGGTGTTTTTTACTCAATTTACACTTCTACATCAGTGTTTATCACCAATAGAAAGTCACGAAAGGAGCTCAATCAGGCCAGGAGCCTGGAAGCAGAGACCTTTCAGGGTACTGTTTACTGGCTTGTTTCCTATGCCTTGCTCAGCCTGCTTTCTGGTAGAATCCAAGATTATCAGTCTGAGGGTGGCACCGTACACGAAGGCCTGGGCCCTCCCCCATTGATAACTAATTGTAAAATGCCTTATACCTAGATTTCAAGGAAGTATTTCCTCAGCTGAGGCTCCTTTCTCTCTGATGTCTCTAGTTTATGTCAAGTTGACCAGACTGCATAGGTGCCTTCAAGAGTGCAAGACATTGCCCATGATTCAGACCTGGAGTCAATAAATTATGGTTAGAAAAAAAAAATATGAGTATATTCCCTTCCAAAGATTAAACACGCCATTAAAAGATGACAGGTCAAATAGACAGTACACCTAGCTAAACAAAGACATTCCTTTCTTATTTATAGCCAAGACCTCACATTAAAAACATAAATAACTTTAAAAGTGCCACAGCGTTTACGAATTCAAACACACTAAAATGTCAATCTCTTTAAAATATTTAATCTCTCAAAAATCCAAAATATCTTTTAGAACTTCATGGCAAAATCAAAATTAAATACTTTCTTCAAGAGGGAAGAACCAGATGATGAAGCTGAAGGGCGTTCCTCCCCAGTTCAGCAGGGTTCTTGCCCTGAGGAGGACTCACAAAAAAAAAAAAAAAAAAAAAAAAAAAAAAAGAGGGAAGAACCAGGGTACAGCCACAATCTGAACCAAGTAACATTAAAATCCAGTGGTATAAATATCTCAGTGTCCAATATCTGTGATCCATATATGATTTTGACTCTTCCGAAGAGTTTGGGTCACTTCCCTAACTCTGTTTTCTGTAACACACACAGCTTGTTTTCTAGGCTCTGGGAGGGTCCTCTCCACTGTTGCTGTTTCTGGTCAGCCTATGATACTGGCATCTCCAAAACCTTGGGTTCTTCTCCTGCAACCGGACTGCACTTTCACCAGTAGCCTCTTGTAGACTATCTTCATGGTGAGGAGCCTCAACTTCTTTGCAAGATCCCTTCAGTCCTGAGCCTTTAACTGTCACTGAAGCTGCAATTTCACCAATGGCCTCCTCTGGCCTCACTCAGTAGCAAGCCTCAGCTACTCTCCATGACCCCTTCTCATGCATTCAAAACCAGTACCAGATGAATGACTCATACACTCTACCTAATCTGGCTGCCAGAACAAGGTACAACCCAGCCAGCTCTGGAACACAGTTGCTCTATACTCGCAGGAAACTTCCCAGAAGATTTCACCTCAGTAATGCTGGTCTCTTAATCACTGCTAATTTCTTAGCTCCAGCTAACTGACATCAACTGTCCCAGTAACACAAAGGCTTCACTTTAGTAGTTCTGATATCTTTTTAATCACAGCTGATCCAAAAACCCCATCTAAAAAGAACGTAGAATTTTAAATCAAAATAGCAAATGGCTGGAGAGATGGCTCAGTGATTAAGAGAACTGTCTGCTCTTCCAAAGAACCTAAGTTCAATTTCCAGCACCTATATGGCAGCTCACATTGTTTCAACTTCCATGGATTCTGACACCTTCATACCAAAATAGGAAATGGCCCTGAAAGAGTCTTTAATCTTCCCTCTGAAATTTCATAAACCAGGCCTTCAGCTTCTGTACTGCTCAATATTTTTCATTCATTCGTTTATTTATTTATTCATTCATTTATTTATTCATTCATTCATTCATTCATTGGTCTATCTATCTATTTATTTATTCACTTTATATCCCAATCATAACTCCCTCCCTCCTCTCCTCCAGGTCACACCCTCCTTCCCTCTTTCCCATATCCTTCCTCTCTTCACCTTCAAAAAAGAGACCTCCCCACACCTACTCATTCCAGAACATCAAGTTATATCAGAACCAAGCACATCCTTTATCATGGTGGTCCAACAAGGCAGCCTGGCAAGGGGGACATGATCCAAAAGCATTGCAAGACAGTCCTTCTCAGAGACAGTCCCACTTCCTTTACTAAGGAACCCACAAGAAAACTAAGCTGTCTATCATGTACATATGTGTAGGGGGCCTAGGTGCAGTCCATACATGGTCCTTGGTTGGTGTTTCAGTCCCCACAAGCCTCCCTGGGCCCAGGTTAGTTGGCTACGTTGGTCTTGTGGAATTCCTGTTCCCTCCTGATTCTTCTATCCTTCCTGCCACTTTTCTAGAAGGCTTCCTGTGTTCTGACCAATGTTTGGCTGTGAATATCAGCATCTATTTCAATCAGTTGCTGGCTGGGGCCTCTCAGAGGACAGCTATGCTAGGGTCCAGTCTGCAAGCATCTGCTCAACATTCTTATTCCTGAGTTCCTAAAGAACTTACCACAAAGTTCTTAGTATCCAATGACTCTTGTAGCCCAAAATTTCAAAGTCCTTCCACAATCCTCCAAAACGATAGTCAGGCCTGTCATAGAAATACCCCACTATCCTCAAACAAAAATATTTATTAGTCAGTGTTCTCTAGAGTCAAAAATCTTATGGAATGAACCTCTCTGTTACTCTCTCATAAAAGATGTTCCCTAGGCAACATTGCCAACTACTCTAAAATTTATGATGTATTTGAGTTTGTTTGAGGGATAATTATATTGTGTTAAGCATTACTATGACCTGTTATTGGTTATGCATTTGCAGTTGTACAAGGGTAGATATATCACATTAGACATTGTTATGACATGGTTATTGTTTTCACTTGGAAATGAGATATGATTTGAATCAAGTTGGCAAGGGGTGGATTGTGATGGCTGTTCTTGACTATATCTGGAATGAACAACAATCTGGAAATGGAGGGCACACCTATGATCTTTATCTTGAGGCAGGAAGACAACATGCCTTTTATCCAGATCTAAAGGCTGGCAGATGCCCATTTTTGATCCAGATTATTAGGTGGGATGACACACCATTTCAATTGGATTGACACATGCCTTTAATCTAGGTCTCTCTTTCTCTCTCTCTCCCTCTTTCAAGATAGGGTTTTTGTCTGTGTTTCCTTGCCTGTCCTAGACTGACAATGAAGATCAGGCTAGCCTCAAACTCACAGTGATCCACCTGTCTCTGCCTCCCTGAGTGTTGCCTTAAAGATGTACATCACCATACCTGGTTCTTCAACCCAAATCTTGAGGCACACCTTTAATCTGTGCCAAACCTTCTGTTAGAGGCCCATGTAAGATCAATGGAAAGAGAGAGGGTTTTTTCATTCTTAACTCGCTTACACTCACTTGGCCAGCACATCATTGGAGCTTACTTCTTAGAGATTCCAGGTTATAAAGAAGACCAGCTAAAACAGCAAGCCTCATAGGAGTGAACAACTTCTAGATTCTTTTTTTTTTATGTTTTTATTAATTACAATTTATTCATTTTGTATTCCACCTGTGGCTCCCTCCATCTTCCCTTCCCAATTCCACTCTCCCTCCCTCTTCTCTACCCATGCTCCTCCCCAAGTCCACTGATAGGGGAGGTCTTCTTCCTCTTCCTTCTGATCCTAGTCTATCAGGTCTCATCAGGAGTCACTACACTGTCTTCCTCTGTGGTCTAGTAAGGCTGCTGCCCCTCCGGGGGAGGTGATCAAAAAGCCAGTCATTAAGTTCATGTCAGAGACAATCCCTGTTCCCATTACTATGGAACCCACTTGGACACTGAACTGCCATGGGCTACATCTGTGCAGGGGTTCTAGTTTATCTCCATGAATGGTCCTTGGTTGGAGTATGAGTCTCAGAAAAGACCCCTGTGCCCAGATTTTTTTTTTTTTTTGGTTCTGTTGTTTTCCTTGTGGAATTCTTATCCCTTCCAGGTCTTACTATTTCCTACTTTTTCATAAAATTCCCTGTGTTCTACCCAAAGTTTGGCTATAAGTCTCAGCAGTCTCAGCATCTGCTTTGATACCCTGCAGGTCAGAGCCTTTCAGAGGCCCTCTGTGGTAGGCTCTTGTCCTGTTCCCTTTCTCTTCCTCTTCTGATGTCCATCCTCCTTCCATTGGAAGTTCATCCTGGCTCCAGGAGGTGGCTTGTTCAGACTCCATATCCCTTGCTGCTACAAGTCTCAGCTACGGTCACCACATAGATTCCAAAGAGCCACTCCCATCCCAGAGACTCCTTCTCCCTAACTCGATTTCAGTCTTTTATCCAGTCCTCCCTTTCCTTTCTCCATACCTGACGCCCACCCATGTTCTCCTGCCCACCCCTTATCTCCACTCTGTTCTCTCCCTCCATCTACTTCATATGTCCATTTTATTTCTCCTTCTGAGCGAGACTCAAGCATCCTTCACTGAGGCCCATCTTGATACTTAGCTTCTTTGGATCTGCAGATTGTAGCATGGTTATCCTATAATTTATGACTGATATCTCTGAAGGTTCTTTTAATATATTTTAATGATTTTATTATGTAAATATGTCCAGAAGGCATACGAAAACAAAATACAACAAAGGTGTTTCTAATTTTACATTTTCTAATTGTTTTTCTGCATTATCTTCCCCTTTGATATGTGCTCCATCTTAATCTTTGGGTGTATAGATTGTCTGGAATTCAACTTACCAAGTTGCGTGTGGAATTGCTGAGTGCCCTGAGAATCCGTTGAACTTCTTTTATGTTTGTCACTATTGTCCTGCGTAAGTATACACTTCAGAGTCAATTTTCAACATTGTCAAATGAGATCGATCATTTTTAATTGTAACAGAATAAAAACAGATTAAATATATATATATATATATATATATATATATAACACATGGAGAGGCAAATACAAAGTTTTAAATACTACCTATAGTAGAAACTTATTTAACTATATTCTTGAAATGGCCAGTTCATCAGTTCCTTGAATCACCCTCAGAAGCTTTTTTCTTATGCTTAAAATGATTTCTCTTCTCCTCTCCCCACCTCAGTTGCTGTTTTAGAGACACATGGTGACCCCATGAGTACACAAAGCATACAGAGATTGTGAGATTCATATTATCAGTTATTGCTATATTTTTAGGCTACAAAGCAAACTTTTGATATTAGACCAGTGGTGAACGAGAGTGAATCACATAGGACAGTAGGAGAAAACAAGAAACAGGACAGAAGCCTACCATAGAGGGCCTCTGAAAGACTCTACCTAACAGTGTATCAAAGCAGATGCTGAGACTCATAACCAAATATTCGGCAGATTGCAGGGAATCATGTAAAAGAAGAGGGAGTTAGTAAGACCTGGAGAGGACAGGAGCTCTACAAGGACCAAATGTATCTGGGCACAGGAGTCTTTTGTGAGACTGATTCTCCAACCAAGAACCATGCATGGATATAACCTAGAACTCCTGCTGAGATGTAGTCCATGGCAGCTCAGTATCCAAGTGGTGACCTAGTAAGGAGAACAGGGACTGTCTCTGACATGAATTCAGTGTCTGTCTCTTTGACCTCCCCCCAAACCAAGGGAGGAGCAGCCTTGCTAGGCCACAGAAGAGGACAATGCAGCCACTCCTGATGAAACCTGATAAGCTAAGGTCAGATGGAAGGGGAGGACGACCTCCCCTATCAGTGGAGTTAGAAAGGGCAGGGAGGAGATGAGGAAGAAAGGGTGGGATTGGGAGGGAATGAAGGAGGGGCCCACAGCTGGGATACAAAGTAAATGAACTGTAATTTATATTAAAAAAGTTAAAAAATAAAGAAAAAACACATAGGATAGTAATTGCAGTGTTTGCGCTAAATTTATCCTACCTCTGAGTATACAGGCTTTATCTGTCCTTTTATAGTTTGTTTTATCTTTTGTGAATTTCATATAGGAGTACTGTATTTCCACCCTTCTCTTTCCACCTCCAAATCTTCCTGCTTGACTCTTCCTCTCACATTCAACATTACATCCTTAATTTTTATTGTTACAAACATGCAGACACATACTATACATAATGCACATATATAACACACGTACTATGCATATGTGTATATATCATAACACACACATAATACCACTGAATCCTTTGATGTTCAACTGTTTAGGGTTTACCACATGGGACTGGATGACCTATCAGGAGTCTCCAGTCTGGAGAAAACAGATTCTTCCTTTCTCAACACCCACGAATCACCCCTACTTTCTCATCTAGAGCATCATAGCCTTTGCTGTTGCCTCCAAGGACTTGAAGATAATGTTCTGCCCAGTTCACGAACCCCAAAAGACCATGAATAAACAGACTTTGCTGTAAATACATGAGGTTCTTTTTATTGTAAATTACAAGCTGCACCTTGGGCCCACACAGCCCCACCGCAGAAGAGGTAGGAGCTGAGCGCGCTGCGCCCAGGTTAGTTAGGTGATTTTCAGATTCTGGTCCATCCCAGCATGCCCAAGGCAAGGGCGATTCCTGCCTGGCAAGCGTCTATTGGTCAAAATGCTACATTTTAAATTGATTGGTTATAGGAAGGTTCTCAGGCCATTAATGATCTGGTGTTCCTCCCTAGGGGGATGGGCCAGTTTCCTAGCAACTGTATCTCTAGTGGGTGGGGAAAGAATGCAGTGAGGCAGCCCTTCCCCTCAGGGCATTACTGTACTTCTTTACCTACTTAGTTCAGGCCTTTAATTAATAATAGCTGCTAATTTTTAATCTTTTGGTCTCTCAATATTATCCTATTATTGAAAATGTCACACACATCAGACAAACAACATGGAGGAATAGAGTTGGAAGTGACTCCGAAGCCTGCTTACTTCAGACTAGCTCTCATAATATTAGAAGATGCTGTGCAAGCTTACAAGAAAGAAAATAATCAAGAGTTTTATCTTTTTGTAAAACAAACAAACAAACAAACAAACAAAAAAAACCAAAAACAAACAAACAAAAAGACTAGCTCAGTTGCTATTTTTCCAGAGCTTTATTTTTGTGGATTTGTTTATGCATGTGCATGCAAAGATAAAAAAGGACATTGCGTTCCCTGGTCCTTTAGTTAAAAGTGGGAACGACCTACTTTACATGGGCATTTGGAATCAAACTCAAATTCTTTGAAAGAACAGCAAATATTCTTAACAACAGAGCCATCTTTAAATCTTACATTGCTGGTTTATACATATAAGTTTTATTAACCCTTAAACAGCAAAGAATTTTGAGAATTCCATAATATATTTTAAATAAGTTAAGAAAGCTAAAATCTTAACTCTTCACTTCTCATAATTTACTAAAAAATTCTGAAAAACTCATTCATTCACATCTTGATTTTAAAGCCAGAAACTCACCCCCCACCTATGCTCTATGGTTGAGATCTTTAAACAATTACTATGAATAGAATGAATATATATTCATAATCTGCATATCAATTTAGTTTTCTTTTAAAAAGATTTTAATTGCATCTGTTTGTCTATCTGTGTGTGGGTATGTGCACATAGGTGATGTGGAGAACAGAGGCATCAGATCAGCTGGAACTGGAGTTCCAGGCAGTTGTAAGCCACCTGAAGTGGGTGTTGAGAAACAAAACCTGAGTCCCCTAAAAAAAGGAAAAAAGCCATTGGCACTCTTGACTGCTGAGACATCTCTTCATGTTTATTTTTATCTTTTAATACAAGAAGTTTATACCGCAAGAGGTTGAGGGACTTCTTAAATCAAGTTCTTTAAATGATTTATTTTTATGCTGTAGGTTACACAGATGGTGTGGCACCTCAGTTCAAATGTAAGATCCTCAAAGAATTTTCAAGCATATTTCTGTTTCCATTAAGTATAATATAAAGAAAGAAGCTGCTGAAACCCATTAAGCTACCTGGTCAAATAAGAAGAATCCAGAACCTAGCACCTAGGAGCGTCAGATACCTAATGAAGAGATGCAAGTGACAGGACTTGTGCAAAAACCAGTATCTTTTTAAATTTTAGATTGCTTGTACACATATAGCTTTGTTCTTCATATAGAGAAGTGGTTCTGCCTCATGCCCTTGGACATTGCCCACACACACACACACAAACACACAAACACACACACAGACCACCACCACCACCACCACCACAATCACCGCTGGTGCAATAGAGACTCTGACATCTCTGCATTTTCATATGACAATCAGTGAAGTGATGAGCTTACTGAGGCACAGTCTAGATGCCATCAGAGTACTTCAACCTTCAAATGGTTTCAAGATTTTTTTTTCTAATTGACATTCTCATTTTTTATGAGCATAAACTCTTATACCCATATGTTTCCTTAGACAGCTCCAATGCTTCTTAAGCACAGGGTCTTTCACGATTATACACATCAACTCTTGAAACTCATCACATCTTCACGGAGACCTCTTCCATGTTACAGGAATTACATTTTTTTCCTATATATGAATTTCTTTATATAAAAAAGTAACTTTTATACCTAACCAGCATCCTGAACTGCACTGTTTTACCAGGTTTATCAGAAAGTGGGGGTTATTTCAACATTAAAATGTCTGCAGAGATTTATCCTATTTTAGTTTCTCAGGTTCTAAGATGATGGTTGATAGAAAAAGTGAATGGATTAAATGTCTGTTTACTTCACATTTATATCTGAATACTCTTAGGATATGTTAGTGTTTTTTTTGGTGTGATATAAAAAAATCTTTTAACACAAATGCATACATACATATAGAATATATATGTATGCATGTGTGTGTGCATGGTGTATGTTTATAATTTGGTGTTATATTCAGACAATAGTGTTTAAACAGAAAAATTTTCTGATGCTTTGCATATCAAATTTCAGTGGCAATTATGAAAGAAGACTATATACACCTTACACAGAAGGAGAGCCGTGTGCCCTTTGTCCTAATGACTGTGAAGACAGGCTGTGCAGTAAGTTTTGCTAACACACTAATATAATAACGTTTAAATGGCAATCTTATTGTCATTTAAATATATTTTGTCAAAAAGGCAAATTATATCTTATCATGCTATTAAGATTTTATAACATAGCCTTACTTAACATCATTTTTAGAACTACAGATTTTCTTTACATTAGGAAAAGAAGAGAAGTTTTGACAGTGAAAAGCATAATACTATATGTAGTCTAAAGAAATATCTAAAATCAGTGCATACTTGTAGCATTGTTGTAACGGGGGTCTACAAAAAATATTTCTGTGGATATAATTAAACAAAATGTTCTTATCCTCAAAGGTGATAGATATGAAGCTTGGCCTTTTAGATGAGAAAGCAATACCAATTTAGGGAGCTGAGATAATAAAACATGGAGCAGCTCAGAGAAAACAGACAGATACTAAAGTTCTTTGCTCGCCAAGGAGTTTAGCACAACAAATTCCTAGTCTCCTCCAGAATCTCATTTAAAAATTTCATTATATTATATTTTTATTTATTTCCTGAATGTGTTTTTGTGTCTTTCTATACATGTATAGGCTCACACAGGTGTGTCCCGACATCTCTGTGATTGTGTTTTGAAGTTAGAGGACAACTTGAGTGAATTCATTCTTTACCACCAGGATATGTGTGTGGAAGATTGACCTCAGGTCACCATGTTTAGTAGCAAGTACCTTTATCCTGTGCCAGCTCACTGGCCCTAGGGTGTGATTTGAATCCTTCCATTTAATTATCAGTTACATGTTTTCTTAAACAATTTTCTGTTCAGTTTTAAAGTCTAAATCAAATCTACAAATATTAGTTCATTAAAAAACTTTAGTATTTCATCCTTGAATGGGAGTAAAAAAGAAATGTCATAGCTTCGCATTTTTGTACTATTATGAATATGAATACAAAGAGTAATTGTTACCCCAACATTTTGGTGGCAGAGAAAGGAGAATCAAGAGTTGGAATGTGGATCCAACTCCAGGTCATCCTAGACACACAGGAGACTGTAACAGCAATAGGGTGTTTATAAAAAGAGTATAGTATAAAAATTAATATCGTAAATTCTGGTGTCAATTTGCTGAGATTTTTGTACATTCCTGAATAAATTACAGAATTCTTCATCATGAAGATTGGTATAGAAAAAATTTAAAGTACTAGTGACATCAAGATTATGAACTAAAGAAGAAAGAGCCAAATATTCACAGCTTTTCTGGTAGAGTTTGTAGAGTAGTCTGTTTGATCAGTAACAGCCGAATGAAGGACTTTAAACAGAAATAGAAAGGTGAAAAAAAAAGAAAAAAAAGTCCTTGTTTTTCATTTTAACAGTTTTTAAATTTATTTATTTGTGCTTTCAGCTCTTGTTAACTTTGAAATAGGGTCCCACTATATAACCAAAGCTCACTTAGACCTCATGTAGTCTAGTCTGCCCTCAAACTTATCTTCCTGCATCTATCTTCCAAGTGTTGTGGAATTTTATTCTATAAAAAGCTCTTAGAAAAAGTATAATTAAAAAAAAGCCAATTAAGAGGTATAGATTCAGAACCAAATAGTCATCTTTTCATTATTAGTGCAAAAGTCATGAAAATGGGTTACACAGAGAGAAATGCATTTAAATACTACGTTTGTTAACTGTACTTGTTATGTGCTAATGAATATATACATGTATGTGGAGAGAAGAAGAGTCTGGGCATGTGCCTGTAGTGATGCTACTCTGGAGGTAGAATTAGCAGAGTTATGAGATTGTACAGGCTTGATTCTAGCCTGGACAACACAATGCGACAGTGTCTCAATCAACAATACAAAGCCACTACCTACCTTTCCAAGTCTCTGCCTTCATGAGATTACCTCTTCCGATATGAAAGACAGAATCAAAGTGTAAAGCAGTCACGAACAACAGCATTCTAGAATGATTTAATGCCTGGTCTTTTCACCCAAAGAGCCTGCTAGACATTGTATTTATAGAGCATTTTCATGATACTTGGTTTGCTGAGAATGTACATTTTAAAATTAAACTGTATTTAGGTTTTAAAAGTACTTGCACAGTGACTACTATTTTAAATAGTGAGGTTCCTTTTTAATGCTTATTTTTATTTTATGTTTCTGAATGTTTGTACATATGTGTATGTACTTTTGAATACCACACTTATGCTCACTGAACACAGGAGCTCAGAAAAGGGCATTAAAACTCATGGAACTGAATTTATATGTGGTTGTAAACCACCATGTAGATGCACAAAATCAAAGCCAGTTTCTCTGCAAGAACAGCAAAGGCTCTCAGTCACTCAGCCATCTTTATAGCTTCTAGATAAGTTTTATAATGAGTTACTGAAGTAGTTTTCTTAAGCCTTTTGTGAGTAAAGAAATACATCAATTTGTCTCAAAGACATTCCACAAAGCTCCAGTTCAAAGGACACCCATTCATTTGCTTAATCCCCTTCTCTCAATTCATTTCAATTTAATTGTGTTACCATTAACAGTGACAAATAACAATGAAGTAATAGATTTTTTGTTTTTTATTTCAGCCAATAGTTGTGAATATATAGATAATTACTCTAATTGTGAAGATATGAAGAAATATTATACCTGTGAAGATCCAACTGTTAAAAGAGTTTGCCAAGCTACATGTGACTGTGAAGACAAAATTCATTAAATTTCCAGTACACACGATCAGAATCTTGTAGAGAAAAATCATATTCTCTGCTTACGCTTGTCATGTTCTACCAGGAAATTATAGGTACAGGTATACTCAAATGATTCAAAATGGTAAAGTTTTTTTTTCTTCTTGTAACTTCCCATTTTGCAGAAATAATTTATACCCAATAATTCTAAGATAACAAAATCACTAGTATCTTTGGACTTTGACATATGAGTTCTGTGACACATTTATGGAGTTGAATCAAACCCATGATTATACAATGTTTGTCTATATGGCTTGAAAATAAGAATCATTTCTTTTTTCAGAGCACAATGAAGTAAAGGAACAAACAGCATATAGTTCCACTGTAATTTTCGATCATCTTTTCTACCTCTACTTAGCTAACTATCTTCAGAGAAACATTCACATTAATTCTCATTTATTTCATCTCACCATTCACTCTTCTTTACAGTCATCAGAATCAGCAGTTTAAATTCTAAAATACAGTTTAAATTGTAATCGTTGAGTTTTTAAGTACCCTATTAAAATGAAACTTAAGAAACAAAATTTGCTTGTTCAGATGACTGCATTGACCTTGATTGCTTTATAAAAAATAAAATAAATCTTAATATTAGCATATTAATCATCTCCCAGTGTTTGTATAAACTAGTCATTTGGTGTTTGTTTATACCAATATGATATATATATATATTTCAATATTTATGATACCTTTCACTTAATTTTTATTTCCATTGATGTTGTTAGCCTTCAAAAGAATTTATACTAATTGGTGCGTTTCCCAAGTAATAATCTATAGCGGAACCCAGTTTGCCTACTATTCCTGACTCTACCTTGTCATGCCAGAGCCAAGGTCACATGTTCTCTATGTCCCATTTAGTCTGGAAAGTCCTGTGGACTCTCACTCACTGGTGCAATACCAGCTTTAAGTCTTAGTTGTACCAGTTGCACATCCTGTGTACGGGGTCTGCCCTGAGCCACACTATAATTTAACATCAAACATAAAACCCATGAAAGAAGTCTACATGTCCTGCTCTCATTGTAAAAACAAAATATGTGCAGCCAAAGAGTCTGACACTGTCTCCCCAGATCTACCAGTTTTAAAGAAATGTTTTCTAATGAGAATTACAGAGATGAACCTCAGGGTACAGAATCTTAGACACTCAAGGAATTTTTTATCAAGGAATTTGAGAAATTTAAAGAAGACATGAACAAACATCTAAAAAAAAACCCACAATAATACAAACATAGGGCAAATAAAATTATGAAGACAATTCAGAATTTAAAAACTTTATTCAGCTTGTTTGGAGGTTCCAGCAGGGGAGAGCAGCTACTCATATACTCTTGACCAAAGATCAGTCTCCTTCTATTCAGGGAAGGTCCTTCTCTTCAAACAAGTGCCCAGCTTTGGGAAGGAAGCACATGGAGTAGTGAGGGAGGAAGGGGACACCTGTCCAGCCTAGACAGCCAGATCAATGGGAAATCAACCCTGGCGATCAATGGGAAGACAGATGTCTCAGCCAGATTGCCCTCATCAGTGGCTGACACTTTGGACACCTCCTGCTGAGAGGTGGGGTGGCAGTGCAGCCTTGCCAGGCCACAGAGGAAGACAATACAGCTAGTCCTAATGAGACCTGATAGGTTAGGGTCAGAGGGAAGGGGAAGAGGACCTCCTGTATCAGTGGACTTGGAGAGGAGCATGGGAGGAGATGAGTGAGGGGGGATGAGATTGGGAGGGGATAAGGGAAGGAACTACAGCTGGGATACAAAGTGGATAAACTGTAATTAATATAAAAAATTTAAAAATGCATAAAAATAAAAAGTTTATTCATTAAGAGAAAGAAATACTTAGAGAACTTCAGCTGAAAGAATGATGGAATTGAAAAACTAACCAAAGCTCAGAGGAAAGAATGTAGAATGGATGAAGTAGATGATAAAATGTCAAGACTTAAAGAAAAAAAAAAAGAATTGGTACACTCAAGCAAAGAATATGAAAAATTAAATATGCACACACAAATACACAAACACACACAGGACCGAAACATGCAAAACTGTGGTATACCATGCAAACACCAAATCTTAGAATGATAAACAGAAGGAGACTCATTCCAGGTCATTAGCATAGACTATAATTTTAACAAGATCATAGAAAAATTTTAACAAACTAATGATAAACATATTCATACAGACACAAGATGCATACAGATCTCACAAACAAACAACATCAGAAGAGAGATACTCACTAAATACTATATTCAAAACACTGAATATAGAGAATAAAGAGAATTCTGAATGATGCAAAATAAAAAAAACACAGGTTAAATATAAACAAAAAAAATCAGATTAACAATTAATTTCTCAGTGAACACTGTAAAATCTAGAAGAGCCTGAAGTAATGCACATCATATTTTAAAAGACCATGAATATCAACCTAGTCTACTGTTTCCAGTAAAGTGATCTGAATAGCTGAAGGGAAAAAAAAATTCAGTTATGGTGATTATTTATTTGTCTTTCTTTTTTTATTTGTTTTATTTTATTTTTCTTTATTAATTACACTTTACTCACTTTGTATCCCCCGTGGTTCCCTCCCTCCTCCCATCCCAATTCCTGCCTTCCTCCACCCGAAGGAAAAATTTTTTAAAAATCACAATGAAACAAAAGAATTCATGCCCACCAAACTATAGAGAGTTCTAGAAACAATATTTCAGACTGGGAAGCATAAATATATACTAGAGGTTATAAAAAGAAAACAAATAATGCTATAATTACTGAATAACAAATTATAACTAAGAACACAAACAACAAAACATTAACAACAACAAAATCCAAGGAAACAAACCAGCCAACCAATAAACAAAAAAGTAAACAAAAAAATTCCAGTGAGGCAAAACAAAACAAAATGACCCTGCATCCCCTCTCCTCCATCCCAAGAGCACTGAGCTCATTTTGTGCTTCCCAAGTACTCCTGGGCATATGGCCTACCATAGATTGTAGTTGATATATTCAGTAACAGTCCATTGGAGAAAACTGTTCCTCTCAATGATTTTTGTCTTTGTTTAGACAAAGACAGGGGGAGAATGAACATGCATTTGGATAGGGAATCAGGGAGAATTGGAAGAAGCTGGGGGATGGTAAATGCAATAAAATAAAAGTATAAAATAAAAAACACCAACAAAGTGAAAGGAATCAACACACGTCTGAAAAGTAACCAAACAGTTATGGCCACAATACTCCAATCAAAAGCACAGGTTCACTGAATGGATTGAGAAACAAAATTCACCCCTTCTGTTGTCTACAAAGTCTTATCTTTCCTTCAAAGTTAGGTGCCACATTAAAGTGAAAGTATGAAAAAAAAATTATTCTGAAGACCCCGAAACATTCAAGTGCCTTTCTCCTAGTACCTGACAGAACAGGCTCCAAAAGAAAACTAATCAGCCTAAAAAAGGCTACTTCATTCTAATCAAGGGAACAGTTAACCAAGAAGATATTATACTTCTAAACATATATGTACCAAATTCTTATGAATCCAGTTTCTTAAAAGCGTATCGCTATCTTTTAAATAATTTTCTTCCTTCCTTTCCCTTCTCTAGTTCCTCCTATGTGTTCTCAACTTGCTCTCAATGATAAACAAACAAACAAATCTATAAAGTTCATTCAGAACAGTCTCTTTGTAGTATAGTGCAGTGTACAGCTAAGTCCTAGGAAACAACATACTCAATTTATGTTTAGATCACTCTAATGAAGCCTTAAATCCCCTGCTTTTCTACAACTTGAGCCAGTGTTTTGAAAACATTTCCTACCAGACAATTGTCAAGGCTTCCATTTTATCTATTTTAAGAAATATTTTATTAAAGTCTCAAAAATAGCAATTGGTTAATAATAACATTAATAAAAAAGTTATATACAGCCTTTAAAAGTTTGTTACTGGAAATAAAGACACAGATTAGCACGAACACAATACTAGTAGGTGATTTTAATACACCATTTTCTCTAATAAAAAAGTAATCTAAAAAAAGAAAACATAGTAACATCAAATTAAATAGTGTCAAATTTCTATAAAATATATCACTAAAAACAAAAATATGCACACTTTACTTAGCCTCTCTATAATGAATCACATCTTAGGACACAAAACAAAACATAACAGGTTCAGACAAATTGACATAACTTCATGCATCAATTTAAGCACAGGCATTATAAGTTTAAAATCATCAGTAAAAAGCTCTATTAATTACATTAATCCATATATATTAAGTGATACAATAATGAATAATGAATAAATTTTTATGAAAGAAGTCACAAAAGAACTAAAAATGTTCTCGTTCAAAGTGCAAATAAAAGCACAACCTAGAAGGAGAAAAAAACCCAAACCTTAGATGCATTAAAAGCAGTCCTAAGAGGAAAATTCATAGTTCTAAGTGCCTCTAAAGGTTGATTAGAAATAAAAGGAATGAATTCATGATGCAACTCAAAAATCTGGCAAATTGAGAACAACTCAAAACCAAGTCTAGTGGACAGCAAGAAATAATAAGAATCAGAGCATAAATTATTGAAATAAAAACAAAACAAAACAAAAAACAATGAATCTAAGATTTAGTTTTTAAGAAATAAAGATTTGACTTTTTAAAATAAACTAAAAGATGAAAAGACACTCAATTAACCAAATGAAAGAAAAAGACTATCCACAGTAACAAAATCAGAGCTGAGCAAGGAGACATTACAATATACACTAAAAACATTCAGAGTAGTGTAAAGCAGTGCTTTTAAAATGTATAACTTACTATGTAAGAATATCTAGATTCATCCAAAATACTAAAGTTAAATAAAGTAGAAACGACAAGCATAGCCATAACAATTAGGGGGAGGGAAAGCAGCAATCAAAAACCTATGGCAAGCAAGCAAACAAACAAACAAAAAACAAAACAACAAAGGAAAAAAAACCTCAGATGCAGATAAATTCAGAATAAAAACCTTAAAGAACCAGGATAGCCGATATT